GTTGGGGGCGAAGGTCCTGGCAGGGTTAAGGGGCCTGAAGGAAGGGCGGAGGCCTGAGGGGCTTCGAGGGGTGCCCCTTGATGGGGAGCTCCTCAGGGGAGAAGTTGGGCTGGGTGGGGGCGAGGAAGGCAGGGCGGCAGTGGAGGGTCCTTCGCGGGGCTGGGGGGAACCCTTCTGACTCCAGCCTGCTCCCACCCCCCAGCTAGTTCCTACATGGTTGGGGGGGGGCGGCCGCCCGGCCCCAGGGGAACAGGGAGCCCCATGTACCCCGAACAGGGCACCGAGCAGACCTGCTCTCTCTCCAGTTGGCTGAAGCCAGTGAGCCGCGTTCCAGAGCCTCAGGGCGGAATCTAGGAGCCTCCTGGGGTTCAACGGATGGTCCGAGGGCAGCGTAGACATGGCTCACCTTCGGGGATTCGCCAACCAGGTAAGGGTTGGTGTCTGGATTGTGTGTGTGTGCTTGACACGAGCATTGACTGCAGAGTCCAAGAAAGGGCACTTCACCTCAGAATGTCTCATTTGAAAATCACACTGGGGTTTCAGAAGAGCAGCCCCACCTCAGGGGTGTCGGGGGTGAAGGGAGGAGTGCTTGAGGGGGGCCCCTGTGGTGCACATCCGTCGGCAGAGTGGGGAGCAGCCCTGAAGTGCCCAGGCTAGTGGGTGCGGGCTGACTCAGGTTGGCTGGTTGGCATTGTTTTGTGGGGCAGAAGCCCGCAGGCCTCTCAGAATAGAGCCACAGAGCAGAGGGTGTGCAGAGGCCTGTCTTGGCTTGGGTGGGAGTCCTGCGAGAACCTGGGTCTGCGCGTCTGGAGGGGCGGGGAAGGTCAGGGTCCACACTGGAGCCTCGGCCTGGGCGGGGACGTTCTGACCATGCTGGGCCGGGCAGGGGCTGTGGGGGCGAGGTTGTAGTCAAGAGGGGCTGGGATGCAGTCAAGCAGCAGTGGTGGGAGAGTCGCTCAGTGTTTCTGGAAACCAGAGGACACGTGTGTGCGTTTCTCGTGAGGGCAGGTGGAGAAGCGCTTGCCTCGGAGACGCCCACGGTCTGCAGTTGGTCGCTACACTCTCCGCTGTGTGCCCTGAGTTTGCCTGGTGTGGGGACCCGCGGCAGGCGCCAGAACAGAGGGTTGGGGCGGCCAGCGTGAGGGTTTTCGGTCTGTACTTTCCCCCTGTTTTCGGCGTCTCAAAAGCAAGTGTGATCTGAAGCTGCTGCGGGGCCGGGTTTTCCTGCATCCTAGCTGTTGGGTGTTGTCTTCCGTGATGTGTCGGCTCAGGCGCAGCTCGGGCTGACTGCTGTCAGGTGTCAGGATCTTCTCATAAGAAGAGTGTACCCTCAGATTCACTCCCGTGGGCTGCATCAGTGAGGCCTGGGTGCGCAGGAGCAACAGGAAGTGTGTGTCCATGTGGGGGGGAGGAGGAGCTGGGGTCAGGGTCCACCCAGGCCCAGCCAGCTCCTGGGAGAAACCCGGAGCGCGGCGTGCGGCTGTTGGGCTGGGCATCCTGGACTAGCTCGCGTGGCCCCAGATGGGGACTGGGCTTGCCGACGTTGCTGAGGTAAGCTGCCAGGTTTTTCACTCATCTTTGACGTCTTGTATCTGATAAATTACATGATTAAGACACTTGGAAAAATGCCTGGTTCTAGCTTATTTTTAAGAGCTATAGGAGTAGCTCCCATGGGTCTTGGAATGAGAAGCTGGAGGTGGGAGCCGCCCCTGTACCTGTGTGCTGACAGTGCTTGGAGCTTGGCCTGGGCCTCCAGGTCAGATGCCCAGGGAAGGGGGTGCGGGCCCATAGGAGCTGAGGAAGGGACCCTAAGGGAAGGAAGCCCCTTTTGTCCTTTCAGGGGGTGAGAAAGTTGGCTTTTGTCAGTGGCAGGAAGCCTCACAGACGTCATTTTCTCTTGAATTGGTTGTCACTGGGTTCTGCAGGGCAGTCCCTGCGTGGGGCAGGGAGGTGCACAGCTTATGGGGAAGCCCTGGACGCCTCCTTCCCTAGATGTCTGTTCCCACCACTAGGGTCTGGATGCCCGCAGGGACCATATGTGCACTTGGCTCCCACCTGTCGCGTGGTGGTTGGGGGTTGTTTGGCATTCCGCATTTTGTGGGGTGACCCTCGTGGCAGGCAGACTGCTTGGTGGTAGCCCCTGACCTGGCAGCCCCAGGAGGATTCTCATTAGGCTGCTGCGCTGGGCTCTAGCAGGCTGGAGCTGAGGGGAGAAGAGGGGAGGGTGCGTCACTGGCCTCAGCTTGCAGGTGGGATGGGGACCCCCAGAGCCAGAGGGACAGTGATGCCAATTAGTGTTGCCAGGCGCTGGCCCCACTTGCTCTGGGGCTTCTCCGAGGCCATCTCACAAGGAGAGGAGCTGTGTCCTTGGAGCCGTGGCTGGACTGGACATATCTCCTGGCTGCACCACCGGGGCTGGGGCTGCAAGGCGGGTTTGCGGGCTGGAGGTTTGCTGGATCATCATCTGGGGGCACCAAGAGGTGCTGATGGGCTGGGTGAACCATAGGGCACCTGGGAAGGCGGCGTTTAGGCCCAGTGGGGGAAGTGCAGGCAGGAGGGGGGCTGTTCCCCAGACCTGGTCCCCACAGGAGCAGAGAAGGCTTTCTCGCTGCAGGAACTAGTCAGTCGCGTGGGCCGGGCGGTGAGGGGCTCGCAGGGCCTTGCGAGGCGGCCTCAGGTGGGGTTGGTTCCAATCTCAAGGTCCCCGTCCCCCACCCCCCTAATCCTGAGGACAGTGGAGCAGCTGTGCTCGCAGCCCCACTCTGGAATTCCGGACTTGGGCTTCTTTAGGAGGGAGGCCCCTCCCAGCATGGCCGGACGGGCCAGGTGGCGCTCAGCTATCCCTGTCCTGCCCAAGCTCTCGACCTGGGCTTTGGGGACTTGCTGGCGGCAGGTGAGCTGCACATGAGGCTGCCGTCTCTTCCTTCATGGGCACTGGATTTGCCTCTGGCTGTGGCTTCCAGGCTGAGAGGGAGGGGGAAGGGCTGCAGGCTTTAACTGGCCGAGTTGGGGTGCAGGTGGACACCTCTCCGGCCTTCTTGGGGCCCCTGCCTCTGGCCACTGCCTGGAGGCCAGCCCACACATGCCCACCCTTGCCCACTGGCCTGGTTTGAGAGGATTCTTAGACGCAGCCCTCACTTCGGGCCTGCTGGCGCTCAGTTGTGATCACGTGTGTTTGTAGGTATGGGCCTCTGTGCCGTGCCTTTCTCCCCTCCTGGTTACAGACCCTGGGAAGGCAGCTGATGGGCAATTTCATGTTGACGTGCAGTTTCAGTCTGGAGCCAGATGGAGCCTGGGGGAGAGCCCGAGGGTGGAGGTGGTTCTGTGCCGGTGCTCAGAGCCCGCTCTCAAGGACTCTCCCCAGGGCCGTGGCGAGCACAGCTGCCCTGTGATGGGTCCTCCTTGGCACCAGAGCGGCCAGTGCTCGTGCAGCCCAGCGAGTTGTGATGTCGCCTTTTTATTCCTGGCCGCTTCAGACGGGCTCCAGGACACTCTCAGGTCGATGGTGCTTGGGGGCGTGGGGGCAGCCCCTTTGGAAGGAGGTGTGTCCTGGTGGATTTGAGGCCTGGCAGGGCTTGGAAAACCATTTCTGCCTCTGTCTGGACTAGATGCCAGGCTCACACAGGCCCTGCCTGTGGGTCCCGGGGCGACAGGGCCCGGGGAAAGCTCCTGGTGGCTTGGTGGAGGGAGTGAGGTGTTCCCAGGAGCCCAGGAAGCCGCGACAGCAGGAGCTGGGGGATGCCAGGGGTGGCGTGGTCCTTCCCCACGCAGCCCCCACGTCAAGTCGACTCAGCTCCTGACGCACCAGGGGTCAAGGTCAAAAGCCAGACACTCGTCTGCAGATGCCCCTCAGCCAGCTGCACCCTGACTGCCAGGGACCGCCTGCCCCTGTGGCTCAGCGCCTCTCAGCCTGGTCTGCTTTCGTCTGAGGACTGGGTGGGGCAGTTCCTTGCATTTAATTGTCCAGGAGAGCCGTGGTTTTTAACTCAGTGCTGGTGTGCGGGTATGGCTGCTCTGAGAACTCATTTGGGGGCTTGAAAGGGAGTCTGTTTTTAAGGGGCGCGGCTTCCAGGTGCTCAGGAAGAACTCAGTCAATACCTGTAGGTTCGGCTTTTTTTAATCGATAGGCTTTACTTTGCTTTACAAGGGAGAGAGTTTCGTGTGCCCATCGTCCCTCCGTGGGAGCTTGTTACAGTCGAGCACGCAGCACGGACACGCTGTTAGTCAGGAAGCCCCGGCAAGCATGAGGCTTGCTCGTGCTGTGGTCACAGCCTCTTCAGGATGGTCTCCACGCCGAGATACCCATACCCAGCCAACTCGTCTCTCTTAACCCATGCCTTGCGGGGTCCTCCCCACGGGTGGGAGCAGGTCGCACGTGACCTGTGTGGCCCCTCTGCCCCCGCCACGGCCCTGGTTCCTTGGCAAGAGCCCAGGCCTCTCCGAGCTCTCTGGGGATGTTTCCCCTTGTGTGGATGGTAAGTTTAAGTTTTCTGAGTGAAAGGATAAAAGAAACGAGGAAAGAATCTGGGTGAGCGTCCTGGCTCCTCCCGGCTCTCGGGGTCCCTGGCCACCCCCCTGACTGGGCTGCCCCATCCCCAGCACTCTCGCGTGGACCCCGAGGAGCTCTTCACCAAGCTGGACCGCATCGGCAAGGGCTCGTTCGGGGAGGTGTACAAGGGCATCGACAACCGCACCAAGGAGGTGGTGGCCATTAAGATCATTGACCTGGAGGAGGCAGAGGACGAGATCGAGGACATTCAGCAGGAGATCACCGTGCTCAGCCAGTGCGACAGCCCCTACATCACTCGCTACTTCGGCTCTTACCTGAAGGTGCCTGTGGGCTGGGGCCTGCCACTGCTGCCGCCTCCAGGCACAGACACCCAGGGCTCCCTGCGCCTCACAGGGCCTTGGTGGGGAGGAGACGCCTGGTCTGAAGGGCGAGGGGCCCCGACAGGTGAACCCAGCCTCACAGTGGAGTGGGCCCCCGAGACACAGCAGCCCCCCGGGGGCCAGGTGTGTGGGGAGCCCCAGGGATGACATGTGGGGGCAGGGTCTGTGGGGCCGTAGCGACCCACCTGCTTGGCCGTGCCCCTTCCGGGGCAAGGATGGCATCCTGCCAGGGCTTTCCCAGGGTGCTTGGTGTGCAGGTGTGTGGAGACTGTGTGCCAGCTGTTCAGGCCGTTTCGTAGCCTGGTTTTGATGATGTTGACGGAGTGGGTCTCCCTGCTTCAGGAGTTTGAGGGGAGCCCGTTCCTGGTGGGCCTCTGTGGGGCCGGAGTGCTGGCCGAGTCCCCTCTGCCGGGGGTGTGTCGTAGGGCTCTGCTTGTGGGTGGGCGCTCGTGCTTCCTGACATGCGTTTCTCTGGTCCCAGAGCACGAAGCTATGGATTATCATGGAATACCTGGGCGGCGGCTCTGCCTTGGACCTGGTAAGGCCTATAGCAGAGCAGCCTGCGGGGCGGGACCAGACAGGGGGAGCTGTCTGGGTTGTCCTTGGCCCCTCGGGTTCCCACGGCCTTAGCCTTGGTGCTTTAGATGCTAATCAGGACCCGGGGAAGCCAAGAGCACCAGTGCTGGAAGTCCATCTCCCCTGGCTGGTGTGGTGGGGCCTGGGCCTGGGCTGGGCTGGGGGGCAGGTGGGGTTAGTTCCCCCAGGAAGACAGGCCCAGGAGTGTGGCTGGGACGCTATTCTCAGCTGTTACCTTTATAGCAAAGGTGAAGGTACCACGTGTTCTCAAGGAATCTCCCCGGCACCCATCTGACCTGACGCCCGGAACTTGTATTTCAAAAGTAGATAAGCAGGCAGCCCCCCCCCCACCAGTGAGGTTGCCCCTCCCTGTGGAGAGGTGGTCGAGCGCAGGCCTCAGCAGTGGGTCTGGGGTGGTGCTGGTGGGGAAGCTGAGGCCCTGCTGTTTTGTCTGTGTCTGCAGCTTAAGCCGGGCCCCCTGGAGGAGACCTACATTGCCACAATCCTGCGGGAGATCCTGAAGGGCCTGGACTACCTGCACTCGGAACGCAAGATCCACCGGGACATCAAAGGTCCCCTGGGGCGCGAGGCGGCTGTCGCTGTGTGGGGCTGGTGGCTGGGGGTGCCCCGCGCTCCCAGCCTGTGCTCCCCGTGGCCCAGAAACTGAGCAGCTCCCTCTTGCTCTGTTTCCAGAAGACGTGCGAGTCACGGATGGAACTTTCTTGGTTCCATGTCCCTGCACGTTGGGAAACCGGCTGTGCGCCTGGTGTGAGGAGGGGCCCTCCTTCAGCCAAAAATGAGAATTTTTGCTCATGGTCTCAGATCTGAGTGTGAGGTGTGGGTTGGAGCATCAGGCTGGTGTCCACGTGAGGCCAGGCCCCTGGGAGGGCGTGCCTGAGGGGCTGATGGAGGTGACTGCAGGGTGAGGGGATGGGTCAGGGTCACCTGTGTCTGTTGAGTGATGGGGGAGGCAAGGGCAGTTGCTCTGTTTGTGGGATCTTCCGTAAGAGACAAACTCCAGGAGGCCCCTTGCGCTGTGGAGCCCAGCGGGGGTGCCCTGGGTCCGAGGGCGGCGGGCTTGGGCAGGAGGAGCTTCTTCAGGCGGCTGCCCTCGGGGTGGGGCCCCGGGGGTGACGCTGTGCTGTCCTGTGTCGAGCAGCTGCCAACGTGCTGCTCTCGGAGCAGGGCGATGTGAAGCTGGCCGACTTCGGGGTGGCGGGCCAGCTCACGGACACACAGATCAAGAGGAACACGTTCGTGGGCACCCCCTTCTGGATGGCACCTGAGGTCATCAAACAGTCTGCCTACGACTTCAAGGTGGGCGAAGCGGGGTTGGGACGTGGGTAGGGGTGTGGGGCTCGCGGTGCCCCAGCAGCAACGGCTCCCTCTGGCTCTCTATCCAGGCTGACATCTGGTCTTTGGGGATCACGGCCATCGAGCTAGCCAAGGGTGAGCCGCCCAACTCTGACCTTCACCCCATGCGTGTCCTGTTCCTGATCCCCAAGAACAGCCCGCCCACGCTGGAGGGTCACCACAGCAAGCCCTTCAAGGAGTTTGTGGAGGCCTGCCTCAACAAGGACCCACGATTTGTAAGCCCCCAGCCCCTCAGCAGCCTCTGGGCCCCCGCCTCCTTGAAGCAGCCTGGGAGGAGGCCTGAGAGGCTGAACAGGGTTCGAGCTGTTCTGGAAGTGGTGCAGGGAGGGTTCTGCCCCAGGCTGCGGTTGACGGGAGCTCACAGAGAGCTCCCATTTGGGGTGGATGGTGTGGCCCCTCCCTGGCCCACCCAGGGAGCAGCAGTGGTGAGGCTTCCACCTGGCCCGGGCTGCCCTGTGTCTGAGCCTGGGAGTTCGGGGGCTCATCTTGGCTGTCCGGCGCCCAGTGACCCGTGTCCGTCCCCGGCAGCGGCCCACCGCCAAGGAGCTCCTGAAGCACAAGTTCATCACGCGCTACACCAAGAAGACATCCTTCCTCACCGAGCTTATCGACCGCTATAAGCGCTGGAGGTCGGAGGGGCACGGAGAGGAGTCCAGCTCCGAGGACTCCGACATGTAGGGCCCTCCCTGGCCCCCGGGGGCTCCCGGCAGGCACACCCCTGCGGCCCTGGGCACCATGATGCGGGTGGGGTCCCCAGGCAGGGGCAGGAGTTTGGGTGCTTGTGCTGGGCACCCGTGTTATCACTGGGCCCCGTGTTTGAGGCCCAGGGTGCCTCGGGGTCCCATGACTCCCCACCTTCCTCTTCAGTGACGGGGACGCTGAGGACGGAGAGCAGGGCCCCATCTGGACCTTCCCCCCGACCATCCGGCCTAGCCCGCACAGCAAGCTGCACAAGGCGACGGCCCTGCATGGCCCCCAGAAGGTCAGCCACCCAGGCCCTGTGCCCGTGCCAGGAGAGTGGCCGGGAGGGAGGGCCTCTGCCAGGCACCCACTCTCTGCCCTTCTCACCCCGGTGACTTTGTCTTGTAGTCAGCGGAGCCTGTCAAGAGGCAGCCGAGGTCCCAGTGCCTGTCTACGCTGGTGCGGCCAGTCTTCGGAGAGGTGAGGGCCAGGCAAGGGGCCCGTGGGGTGGGGGCGGTGTTGCTGTTCTGCGGAGACACTTCCCCACAGTGAGGCTTGCTGGCCAGGCCGCCCGTGTGTGGGACTTCTGGTCCCTTGGAGCCCACGTGGTTGGACATGTGGACCCGGCTTTCTGAGCGGACAGACCAGAAACGGCTGGAACAGACTGGGCCAAGGTGACCCTCTCAGGTTCCCAAGCCTGCTGGGGTCCTCTGGGGTCCCAGGGTGGCTCTGATCAAGAACTACTGTCCTGTGATCTTATATCTTGAGCTGCAGAGACACGGGATGACCCGGTCTAGAGGGAGCTGGGAGATTTAGACCTTGCTGTTGGACTTTAGGCCCAGGCAGGGAGCCCTCATGGGCAGTCCCCCGGGGTCTCACGACCCTGTAACTGTCACCGGCTGCTGGGTGGTGGGTAGCATCCCCAGGCAAGTGAGTCAGCCGAAGGCGGGTCGTGGGCCTGATTCACACCCACCCAGGGTGACAGCTGCCCCTGGAGTGCAGGGAGGGGAGGAGATGTCGTGAGTCCCCAGGCAGCAGAGCCTTTCCAGGGATGGTGGGGTGCGGGCATCCCCGGGCAGGGTGTTGGGCACAGGCAGGCCTGCTCCCACCCCCAGGTGCAGGAGTGCCTGCGGTTGGGGAAAGGGTGTTGGGGAGGAGCTGGGACGATAACAGTGGCTGTGCGGGCACCTAGGGTCACGTAGCGGGCGCTTGTGGGGCTCAGCCTGGATAGCTGGATCAGAGGCCTCTCGCCACGCTGGGCAGCAAGACCTGGGCAAGGCCCCACAAGGGGCAGGGCCTGGGGAGGGGGCTGCACCAGCAGCTCTAGGGGGATGTGAGGCTCACTGCCCAGGGCCCTACATGCAAGTCACAGGCAAGGGGCTGGAAGCCCCACCTGAGCCCCTGACTGCTCACAAGTGGGAGGGTGAGGGCCCGCAGCCAGGTGCACTGGGGTCTCCACAGCTCAAGGAGAAGCACAGGCAGAGCGGCGGGGGCGTGGGAGCGCTGGAGGAGCTGGAGAACGCCTTCAGCCTGGCCGAGGAGTCCTGCCCTGGCATCTCGGACAAGCTGATGGCCCACTTGGTGGAGCGGGTGCAGAGGTGAGCAGTGGGCTGGGGGGTGAGGCCCAGGACATGCTTGTGGGTAGCTGAGTCCAGCCCTTGCTTTGCAGTCCCCACCCGGGGGTGGGGGGTCACGGGGCTGTCCTGGCTTCACTTGGGCTCTCAGAGCCCCCACCTCGGCCTGCATTGTGGGGCTGAGGCAGTGACAGGGACCCTCATCCACAGGTTTTCACACAGCAGAAACCACCTGACGTCGACCCGCTGAAGCTGCTATCTGTGCAGTGGGGAGGGTCCTGTCCTGAGCTCTGGGAGGACTGCACTGACTTGGAGCCTTTCCCTGCAGGGTCACGCCCCCACCCTGAGCAGAAGGCTGTCCAGCTTCCACGTCCCCTCCCTGGCTGGCTCAGCCTTCTCAAGCCCGTGTGGCCAGGTGTCCCCTCTGCAGGCTCTCAGGGCACCCGGCCGCCTGGACTGGGGAGCGGAGACTGAGGGGGGTGGGTCCACCTCGTCCCGCCCGGGGCTGCAGTGGCCCCTGGAGGACATAGATTTGCCTTGTTGTGTGGGGTCAGGTACCATGTCTTCGCATAAGTACTCGTGTCAGCCAGAAGCTTTTGTTTTTTAAGAAAACCGAACTTTGCTTCCCTAAACGTTGAGGTTGAGGTGTTTTCATAGAACGTTGAGAGGCTCTTGCCACTTTCAATAAAGACCTGAATTGGAGACGTGTGGTGCTGGGTGGCCCTCCCAGTCTGGCCCCCAGAGGCCTGTTCTAGGCATCTGCATCCTCATCACAGTGCTCACACCTGGCCCACTGGAGTAGGGAGCAGCACAAGGGAGGTGCCCTTTTTATTCACACGTGGTCAGCACAGCACAGCTCAAGACTGACAGTTACAGGGACTCTGCTTTCCACTTTGCAGAGGTATGTGGGGTGGGTGCCAGAGCAGGGGCCCTGCACCCCCCAGTTCGCCCCACCTGAAGGCACCGGGCACGGCACAGCTCCAGCTGGAGGTTCCCATTCCAGGCCTAGAGCGGGCAGGCGAGCTCTGGCCCCATCAGTGCCTGGGCTGGGCCGCGTCTCCTCCAGCACACACGTTCCTCTGGGTGCCCTGCAGCCCCGCCCACCACTGGGCCCGCTCTGCTTCCTCGGCGCTGTCCTTGTCCAGGCCGGGTGGGCCTCACGCCTCCTCCTCGGGGGGCCCGGCCCTCCCAGGGCAGCTGCTGGCCTTCTCGATAACCTCCATCCACCTGTGAAGAGGGTGGACTATCAGACCCCCGAGATGCTCGCCTGGGGAAGCCAGGTGTGGACCACTGGGCTTGTGCTCAAATATTTCCCCAAGAATGACCCAAATGTGGAGTGAACGGGACAAAACAAAGGCCACTTAGAACCCTGGAAGCAGAACTCAGCCCTTCTCTCCAGGACCCAGAAGACTCGCCTCTGGTGCCCTTAGGGGCACCTGCAGACCCAGGCTACCTGTAGCAGAATTACCTCCTGAACATGTATTTGCTCTCCGCCCGGAAGAAGTAGATGTGGGACTTGAACTGGAGCTTGAAGACATGCTCCTTGTGGATGCCGTCAGCCTCCCCGGGGGTGCTCACCTGGTAGCCCAGCAGCGGCAGGCTGGCCAGGGGGTAGTCGTCCTGGAAGGCAGGAGGGCATGCGGCTCTGCAGGCGCCCCCCACCCCGCCCTCTCCCCGCTCCGTGTCAGTGGGCTCTGGGCGCTGGTGAAGCAGCGGGTTCGGGGAGGGCACAGGGAGCCGGGCCACGGGCTCCAGTTGGGCGCCTCACCTGATGTGTCTTGTAGAAGAACAGGCAGAAGTTGGTGAGGACCACCCAGAGCTTTTGCCAGCCACTACTGTTTTTGAACTTTCTTAGCAGATATCCTGAAAGCTGGTTCTGAAAGGAAAAGGAAAGCATACGGGCGTCGGTGTCCTGGGCCCCAGTCGCTAGAGCATGCACCCTCCTGGCTCCGCCCCCACAGGCCGCCTGGAACGGGGGTCTCCCCAAGGATGAGGTCACCCTGAGGGTCTGTCTTGGCTCCGCTTGCACTGGGAGGAGCAGCAGTTTCCATCCCCGATGCCCTGCCTCCTGGTATTTGTATTTAAGTCTAACCGGCGGGGTTAACCCTGAACAATGAGGCCCCAGGTTCATCTGAGTGATAAGTCCCCTGTGAGGATCACCTTGAGCCAGGTCAGGGAGGCATTCGGCGGTGGGCGTGGGGTGGCATAGACACTGGCAGGTAGGAGGGCCGACCGAGTCCTGGCTCTGCAGCGGCCCTCTCCTGGCACCCCTGCTGCCCTCTGGCTGGTGCCACCACTCCTGTTCCCACCCCTCACTCGGGCGAGGCATGCAGGGCCTCCGCAACGGCCATGCACCCGCTAACAGACGCAGGGACGGCGCAAAGGGTGTTCAGGAACACTCTCCCCATCCTGCAGGTCCCCGTGTGCCGGCCACGCTCTCCTGTGCCCCACCCACCTCCTCGCCTGCTTCGTGGGTCCCTGCACAGAAGCTTAAGCCACACCAAGCGGGAGGCGGCCCGAGGACTGACGGGCTCATGCATATGGCCCTTCTGGTCACGGAGGTGGGTGGAACGGCCAGCCCAGGGTGACGGCCCTCCCGGCCCGTGCCTTGGTTTCCTTGGGCCCCGTGTACGCCCTGCAGGTCCCGGCCCCCTGCCCAGCAGCCCCCCGACAGGGCACTCGCGGCGGCCACACCTCAACGGCCGCACTGCGGTCGGCCCTGGAGACGCTGGTGCTGCGGTGCCAGCACACGTGCACCGTGGTGTTGGCCCGGTGCCGGCCCTGCCCCTCCAAGGGGCCCCCAGCACCACGAGCATCTTCTTCTGACTCCTGCTCCAAAGAGGCCTCGTCGGGGGGACCCTCGGGGAGAAGACAGCCTTTGCTCAGAGGAGATGGGACCTGCGGGGCTAGTGAGCTGGGCTGGGCCCTGCGGACAGGCACCCTTCCTGCCCAGGTCAGCAGCAGGCAGGGAGCAAAACCATGTGCTGCTCCTGCCAAGGAGAGCTCCCGGCCCCTCCTGCCACCGCCTCGACCGTCCCTCCTGAAAGGACTGCGTGGTGGGCTCAGTGGGCGGGCTGCCTAGGGTGGCCACCCCACAGGAAAGCTTCCTTGGGGGCGGTGGGCCCTCTGCAGGGCTCGGCCAGGACTCACTGCGGGAAAGAGCGCACACCATGCTGCCCGGCAGCCCCAGGGGTGTGCCACTGCTGCGCTTGGCTGCGTCGATGGCGGCCTTCAGGTCCTGCATCCACTTCTCCTTCTCCAGCTGGGTGCTGTGGGCAGGGCCGGGGCTCAGCTGCTGGGCAGGACCCCGCAGCCAGGGGCTCCTTGCTGTGGCCCCCTTGGGGTGGAGGGCAGAAGGGCAGGGTGCCCATTTCCCCCACTGCTGGAGCTGCGGGGCTGGGAGAGGAAGGAGGGGCAGCCCCTCGCTGGACCCTGGACTGGGGGCTCTCGCAGGTAATTTGTTCCTGAAACAAGGTTCTTAAGTCTCTGGTCTGAAATACAAGGTTGGGTCCTGGGTCATAATTAAGCTGACATGATTTCCTGGTGGGAGTCGAGAGCCTGTGTGCTGACATCAGCCAGGACCCCTCAGGCTGGGAGCTGAGAGCCAGATGCCACCCTTTGGAAGGTACTGGGGAAACTCAGCTCCCATAGGGGAGGGACCGAGCCCAGCGCGGTGCTGATGGCCACAGGGCTCCTTGCACCAGCCCACCTGCGCTCCCCTCACGTGCAGGGCCAGAGCACCCACACCCCTGGACCCGTTCCATTCAGTGGGGCCCCGGCGACACATGGCCACTCTCCGTGACTGATAGTCTTGTGGACATCGGCTCCCAGCTGGGGCAGAGCTGCTCTTGGGGTTGCACTCTGAAGCAGTGCTCATGGGGCCTGTGTCCCCAGGGCCCCTACCTGGCTGCCACCACGACTGTTTTCTGAGCTGCGTAGATGGTGAAGCAGTGCGGGGCAGGCCACTCGTTCTGGCGCTCTTCCACCTGTGGTGGGGGGGAGGAAGGTCAGGACCGGGAGCCAGGCTGGTGGACCCGAGCTCGCAGCATGACGCAGGTGGTGTGGGAGCTCTGTGCTGCCCAAGCCCATGCTGACTCTACCAGGGGCTGCGGGAGGCACGAGGGATCCCCACGCCATGGCGCCTGCTGCCCAGGTGGCTGAGCTGTGGGCCACAGGGCACCCAACTACTCACCGGTGGGTCCAGCACTATTAGCTGAAAATCAAGCACAGGAAAAAATATTGAGCATTTTCGTTGTTGACGAGGGAGTGGACAATTCATTTTATAAACCTGGTACCAAACCTAACAAAGTCAGATTCAAAGAAACACCCCTACAGACTAATCTCAATGATAAGTGATTAAATGAAGTAACTGCAAAGCAGACATAACCTGATCAGATCTAAAAGCACAGACAAGAAACTGTCCTGTGACCAAGTAAGGTTATTCTAGGAATGTAGGACGGTTCGGCATTTGCAAGCTGGTGGATAGAATCACCCCATCACAAAGTCAAAGGGACCACTTCTCCACGTGCTGAAGACACCTTTGCCAAAACCCAACATGTTCCTTCTGATCATATCTCTTAGACGGAAACAGAAGGAAGCTGTGGTAACATGGCTGAGTTTTCCCCAAGCCAAGAGCCACCGTCCTTCCCTCCACAGTCAGGGTGGAGGGCTGGCTGTGTGTCCCCAGGGCCAGCCAGTTGCAAGTATGGCTGCCCTGTGCTGAGCCCGTGGGACACGAACCTCTGAGCCTCATGCTGGATGTAAAGGACCTAAAACCAGTATGAGCAGCGGCCGGCCGGAGAAGGCTATCAGGACGTCGGTGCCCTAAAGTGGAAATCTGATGCAATTTCAATGGAAATCCCAATGGTGCTTCCTGAAGGAATCTGTCCCAATGATTCCAAAGTTTATTTAGAAGAATTAAATACTGGAGAATAGCCAAGAATTTTTTTAAAAGGAGGACAAATGAGGCCAGGGAAGGAACTTGGCCACACGGCGACTAACCCTTATAACACACTAATTACAAGAGTGTAGATTGACGTTGGGACAGAAATGCAACAGAATGCCCAGGAAGAATCTGAGTGTAAAGACACGAATTTTTTATATGATAAAAGCAGCCTTTGAGATCAGTAAGAAAATGATGGAGCCAACAAAGAATGAGAAAGCTGACTATGTGGGGAGAAGATGATACGCCCCAACCTAAAAACATCAGAAACAACACACTTTGGGCAGATTAGGAGAAAAATAAAGCCGTAAGTATACCAGGAAGAAAAGTGCCAACAGAATCCTGGTGTGGGGAAGACACTCTGGACCGGCACCACGGGCAGAAACCCTAAAAGGAAAGACAGATCCGACTCTGTAAGAACATCGAAGTTCCCTCCTTCAGCAAGCGTCTGGCGGGGTCTCGCACCAGATGCTGTTCCCGGAACAAGACACACGGTCCTGTGCACGGCGCGTACGCTCTCCAGCATAAAACCAACTGCAGGCAACGTGGACGGGAACTACTGCCTAGAAAGTACCTGTGACCTGAGAAGGTTGAGAAGTGCCTCCCCTACATGTGACAAAGGCAGCAGACCAGCGGGGACCAGAGGAATGGCCCCGAGGCCTCGCTCCCCCTCCGTGCCGGAACGGTGACGCGGCGGGGTGGGCACCAGGGCCCCGCAGGCAGGGAGGAGGCAAGTTGAGACGCGCAGGCGGGAAGGTCCCACCATGCACGCTGAGGTTTCTCTCAGGGACCTACTTAAGGATGCTCAGTAAGACAGAGATCCAGTGGTGTTGCTTCTAACCCTGAGAAACCAGACGTAGCCAAAACCTGCAGAGCCGGGGCTGGGTGAATAACCCGGGGCCTGGCCCCCGAGCTGGGTGGTGAGAGCCCAGGGGACACGGGACAACGCTGGAGATGAGCTGCGGAGCAAAACCAGTGCAGGGTCCGAGACAGCATGTGGAGGGTGCCTCCTCTGGGCGGCAGAAACGCCCACCACGTCTTGACAGCAGTGCCGACGGCACCCACCACAGGGCGGCGAAACCAGGAGTGGTTTCCATCTCACACCTTCAGGAGCTTTTCTATGATGAAAGCGTGATTTTTAAAAGTAGACATTAAAGCAGATGGGAGCCCTTCAAGCCCACCCTTTCTGCTGAGAGCTGGGAAAGCTGTGGCAACTGGCCCTCCCTGGAAGCGGGTGCAGGGCCCAGCGCAGGCAGGCGGCAAGAAGGGCTGGGCACCACCAGGGAGGACGGAGCTGGCGCTGCTGGAATCGGACTGATGGGTTGGACCTGCCCACCCACACCTGGGCAGAGGACACCTCAGCACGTAAGATGTTTTGGACAAACAGCACATCTATCTGGCAAAGACCTGAACTTGGCCTCCCACCTGCCATTCCCACAGGTGGGCTCCAGGCTGAGCACAGGCTTACAGGGAGTCAGTGTCCACACGGGAGTCTCTCCAAGACCTTCAAGGCCACAGAAGCACTGAGCACAGAGCAGGCCAACAGACTGCATCACGTTAAAATGAAGAATTCCCGCTCACCAGAGACAGTGCTAACACCCAGGTCGCACTGGGAGGGCGGGGACCAGACACGCCCGTCCGGCCGGCGGGTGGACAGAGCGCTCACAGCGCGGCCCAGGCCCGAGATGGCTCTGGGGCCGAGCCTGTGTCTCTTCACACGGCAGGGGTGACAGGACAAACTAGAAGCCGCCCAGAACGACTCAGTGGAGGTCACCGGGAGCGTGCTGAGCCAGTCCTGACCGGCAGCCCGCCTCTCTCTGGCGGTGGGGTTAGCCGTCCTACCGTTTTAAAGCTGTGTGTGTGAAGTAACTAATTACGATGCCGTGAAGAACCAAAATTGTCGGCATAAGAGAAAAAAGATGCAAGTATAAATCAAGGAAGTGGAAACTCTCCAGCCTTCAGAATTAGTGATTCAGGTTTCTCTCTGAAAGGCTGTGTCAGCCCCCACCCCTCCAGCGGCTCGGTGGCCCCAGCGTCTCACTGGGGTTTTCACAGAGTTTCCCACCAGAGGACAGGGCGCCCTGGGAGCCGCAGGTGGGTTCCGGCTGGGAGAGGGCCTGGTCCTGCAGGTGCCACGGGCTCAGGCGGGCTGTTTGAGAGCCGGAACAGCAGCTGTGACAGGTTGGAAGGGAACACGCAGCCCAGCAGCTGCTCCCCCGCGGCAGGGACTGCTCACCAGCATGCCGCGCAGCGGGAGGAGGCCCCGCATCCGGAAGCGGCTGGTCCCCGAGGCCCCTCTGCTCGTGTACAGCAGCATGTCTGAGAACTGAGAGAGGGAAGCTTTAGAGAAGCGATTTGTGAAAATGAGTCACAAGGTTTCAACAGCTGAGCAGTCAGCAACGTCAACGCCATGGGCTCGCGTGTGGTTTTCAGCTTGCTGGAGGTTTTTAGCAAAAAAGGGGTTTTTATTTCATTCATATCAACATTTCTGACCAGAGGTAACCAGCCACCACGTGACCCAGCAGGCCTCCTGGGCCAGTGTGTGGGCGCTGTTTTGCAGCGGGAGGCAGTGGGTTGTTTTGGCTGGCCTGACACCGTCACCCTCTAACTGGGCGTTGACTGGGCGTGAGGAAGGCAGCTGATGCAAGGGACCCCGGTGGCAGCAAGGACTTGCTGGGAGGACCTTGTCTCCCAGGGTCAAAGCCAGGACCTCCAGGCCAGTGAATGAGACCCTGGAACTGGTCTCTCGGCAGGAGCAGAGCATTTCTGCAGCCACAGGGACGTGGACCTTTCTACCTTCTGGGTTTTGCTTGCCCTGCAGACAGGTGTCCAGAACCCGGACTGAGGGCAGTGGTAGCCGGGAAGTGTGTTCTGCGGCCCTCACCAAGCTCCTGACGCAGACGAGCTGCCCGTTCCACCTACCAGAAAGAACATTCTTGGCTGCAGGCCTTGCTTGGTGAGCGTGTGGAGGCAGCCCTCACGGAGAAACTCCTGAAAGACAGCGTCACGCCCCTGAGCAGCAGCGAGGCCGCCGCAGCCATCTACGCTTCTCTGAGCCCCTGGCGGCCCTGCCTGCTCTCCTGCCCAGATGCCTCCTCCTGCCCGTCTGCTGCCCTTGGCCACCCGAGGCCTCTCCAGGAGCCAGGTCATTGGGGCCCCAACAGTCTTGGCTCCCACAGCCTCCTCTCCCGTAAGCTGGCTGGGCTGAGAGCTCGCACACCAGGCAAAGAGTGTGGTCGAGAAGATTCTGGAAGGTGCAGCCATGGAGAGTTCAGCTTTGAGAAGAACTGGGCGGAGCCGCTTGAAAATGGGAGTTAGGAAGATGGGACACCTGGTTAATGGGTGACCTGTCCGGGTCAGCTGCCGCAGCGGCGTCTGAACAAAGGATCCCTAAGACCACAAAGGCTTCACAACCCAGACTTGAGACCCTCCAGCGGGGCTGGAGATCTGGGGGGAGCAGCCCTACGGGGCCCTGGGCAGCCCTTTGTGGAAAGAGGAGGGCGCGGCCCCCAAGGGGAGAAGAGGAGGCCCTGCCTCCCCCAGGCCAGGCTCTCACAGCTGCCTCTGGGCACAGACGGCAGCCCAGCAGCCTGGCTGGGAGCGAGATCCCGGGTTCGGAGCATCAGATTTGCCCAACCTGTTGGGGCTCTTCTACCGTCTGTTGCTCCTTTGAAACAAACAGGAGCACGGGCTTCCTGCCCCGAGAGCAGCCGGCCTCCTGCCCTCAGAGGAACCAGTAAGGGCGAGGAAGGGAGGACTTGACTTCGTGATCCTCCCCAGCCCAGTGCCCCGAGGCTGGGAAACCCGCCCAAATCCATAGGCCAGCACACCCCAGAAGCGCGAGCAGCACTTTGCTTGTGCATGTATTAAAAAACCATTCAACTGCACACTTTGAGCTGTATCTCAATTAAAAACTGGGAGGAACCCAATCAGAAAACGTCCTGGAACAAAGTAAAGGCACTCACCCTGTCGGGAGCAACGAGGTTCTCGATGCCGACCAAGTCCCGCTGCAGCTCTGTCAGCTTCTGGAGGTTTTCCAGGCGGACCAGGCTGTGCTGGAGCTCGGAGGTCACCTCCGTGACGGCCCGGAGGGCGTCTGCGCAGAGAGGCCCCTCAGCACCGGCCCCAGGGGGACAAAGCCCTCCACCTTCCACTGTGGGACGGGTTTTAATTCCAGGAACGACCCACTCCAGCTCCTCACAGGACTGCCGTGCACAACCGTGGGAACCCCTGCGGGCCCCCTGAAACTTGAGCAGCCAGCACTAGGCTTGGTGAAGAGACAGCCTGCAAATAACCGCCTAGGGCTGTGGAGGAGCAGGGTTTGCTCTTCAGGGAAAATGACTGTACTAGAGTTTCAAGGCTAAATAATTCGGTCCTTGAGAACGTTGCAACCTTCTCCTGGAGTGGAGGAGCAGGTGCTCATCTTACAGTTCAAGCAGAAACAGGCTTACAATCAGGAAGGGGAGCTCGTTCAGAAGAAACACAAGTCCCCGCGGCCCTGAGGCGACTGGAGGCTGACCGGTCCGGCCCGCCCTGGCCCCG